GAAGATAATTAAAAAATGATTACAGCAGTATATTGTCAGAGAACTTCCAGAAATGCAAGCTGGATTCAGAAGAGGATGTGGAACGAGTGATATCGTTGCTGATGTCAGATGGATCTTGGCTCAAAGCAAAGAATACCAGAAAGATGCTTACTTATGTTTTATTGACTAAGCAAAAGCATTTAATTGTGTGGATCATAAAAAATTATAGATAACATTGAAAAGAATGGGAATTCCATAATACTTAATTGTGCTCATGAGGACCTTGTACATAGACTAGGAGGTTGTCATTCAAACAAAACAAGGGGACACCGAATGGTTTAAAATCAAGAAAGGAGTGCGTCAGGGTTGTATCCTTTCACCATACTTATTCAATCTGTATGCCGAACAAATAATCCGAGAAGCTGGACTATATGAAAAAGAATGTGCCATCAGGATTGGAGGAAGACTCACTAACAACCTACGTTATGCAGACGACACAACTTTGCTTGCTGAAAGTGAGGATGACTTGAAGCACTTACTGATGAAGATTGAAGACTGCAGTCTGGGGTATGGATTACACCTCAATATAAAGAAAACAAAAATCCTCACAATGGGACCAATGAGCAGCATCATGATAAATGGAGAAAAGATTGAAGTTGTCAAAGACCTCATATTAATTGGTTCTACAATCAACACCAATGGAAGCAGCAGTCATGATATCAGACGTCTTATAGCATTGGGCAAATCTGCTGCAAAGGACCTCTTTCAAGTGCTGAAGAGCAAAGATGTTTCCTAGAAGATTTAGGTGCTCTTGACACAAGCCATGGTATTTTCAATTGCCTCATGTGCATGTGAAAGCTGGACAATGAATAAGGAAGACTGACGAAGAGGTGATGCTTTTACATCAGCCAGTTACGTGCTGCAACAGCTTTTGTGGTATTGGCAAAGAATGCTAAAAGTACTGTGGACTGCTAAAAGAACTAACAGATCTCTTCTGGACGAACCACAGATGGAATGCTCCTTGGAAGCGAGAATGGCCAAACTTCATCTCACCTACTTTGGTCATGATGTAAGAAGGGATCACTCCCTGGAGAAGGATATCATGCTTGGCAAAGTGGAGGGACAACGAAAAAGGGGAAGGCCCTCAACGAGATGGACTGACACAGTGGCTGCAACAATGGGTTCTGGTGTAGCAGAGATCATGGGGCTAGCACAGGATTGGGTAGTGTTTCGTTCTACTGTATATGAGGTTGCTATGAGTCGAAGACAACTCAATGGCACCTAACAACAACAACATTGAGTGACTGTGAGTCTGAATCAACTCCATGGCAGCAGGTTTGGCTTTGGTTTGGACAGAGATTAATGTGTTTGACTGCTTACTGAAAGTTTAGGGGTTCAAGTCCACCCAGAGGTGCCTTAGAAAAACTCTGATTATCTACAGGTCGTCCCCAACTGAGAATGTATTCGAGTTATGATAAACTGCACTTAAGATTTCCTGTTTTTTTCTGGTATATCTTATCATTAGTAGCAGGTACTACCTACAGTGTTGCAGCATGTAATTGGCTGATATTATCCTTCTCAGATGTTTACTCATAGATGTTCAAAGATCAGATTTATAAAAATGCTGATAATAGTAAAACATTATGGGTGGATACAAAGGTAGACAGGCTAAATGACCAAGTAAGGGTGGGCAAAAGGAAATATACCTGTGATAGCTGGAGCTGTGTGTCAACTTGGCCGGACCACAATTCTGTGTGGTTTAAGCAATTGTGATGTGGGTCGTTCTGATGATGGGATCAGATGTATATGGTTTGAGCAGCCCATCCATTGAAAGGGAGTTTCCCTAGGGGTGTGGCCTGCTTCCAGTACATTTATGGACATCCTGGGAAAAGTGACATTCTTCTGTGGATCAGGATTCTGTTGCGCTGCCTACAACTGCCTGTGAGTGAACAACACACCACTCGGCCTGGAGATCTTGGATTCATCATTTGTTGGAGTCAACAGCCAGTATACTGCCTGCCAACCTTGCGCTTGTCAGCCCCTGCAGCTGCGTGAGAGTTGAGAAAAGCCTCTGGCGTGACGTTTGATCCAAGAACTTGGGACTTGTGAGCTGCTGTAAGTGTGTGAACCATTTTCCTAAAACAAATTTCTCTCTCTCTCTCTCTAATAAGCTTTACTGGTTTTGCTTCTCTAGAGAACCCAGTCTAACACAATACCCATGATCATACATAAGTTTGGCAGATGACATTTCTACTTATATAACTTGTGTGTGCTGTAAGAATGTCTATATATATAATAGCGCTAACAAGGGGCAAAGTTATAGGTACTTAGCCACACCCAAACACCTTGGGGGAGTGAGTTGCTGGCCCTTCAATCTCAGGACCATGGTCTCAGGGAACATCAAGCTCAGTTGGCATAATATACTACACAAAAACGTTCTACATCCTATTTTGGTGAGTAGTAACTGGGGTTTTAAAAGTTTGCAAGCAGCCATGTAAGATGCAACAATTGGTCTTTCCTTATCTGGAGCAAAGAAGAATGAAGAAAACCAAGGACACATGGAAACAATTAGTCCAAGGGACTAGTGGACCATACCAACCTCAACCTACATGATCCTGAGACCAGAAGTACTAGATGGTGTCCGGCTACCACTGTCAGCCACTCGGAAAGGGATCAGTGCAAGAGATCCTGGATAAACTAGCAGAAAACTGTGAAACAAAACTCGAAACTATAAAAAAGACCAGCCTTACTGATCTGATAGAGCCTGGTGAAACCTCTGAGAACATGGCCCCTAGTCACCCTTCAGGCCTAGAATTGAGCTCACTCCCATGGCCTCCAGTCAAATGATACACAGGCCCACAAGGTAAACAATTACACCAAAAGTGCACCACTCTTTAGAACAATCAACCGGGGGCATCAGAAGGGCAGCGTTTGCACATGGAGATGGCTCAGAGGGCAGGAATGCATAAGAAAGAAGGGCACAGGGAGAAGTTAACCACAGGGAGGAAATGGGAAGAGAGCTGTTAAATTGTAGGGATTGCAATCAATGTCATGAAACAAATGCGTATGAATGGTTGAATGGAAAGTGAATTTGCTCTGTAAACTTTCACCCAAATCACAATTAAACAATTTTTTTAAAAATGATACTAACAGACAGTAATAATAATGAAAACTATCATAAGTCACAGCTGGTGGTTCAAACCCACCAGCCACTCCTCGGAAGGAAGGTTGGGCAATCCTA